AATAAAGTACAGCTTGTTTACAGTGAGGCAATTAGACGCGTGTGATCAGAGAGTTACAGCAGGAATGTCTGAACGGGTCCATAGCACCATTAGCAGAGTAAAGGGCACAACCTGGAATGCTCAGAGATATCAAATCACAGCGGTGGGGGAGGGACAGACTGCTAAACAAGGCTCTGTTGGAGGTTGATTCCATTAATCAGGCCTACTCTAGTACTCGTGTCAGGAGCCACACGAACATATTCGCCCACTAACAACAACCTGATGCACGTTTACTGTGACACCTTATAGTGGTCTCTTAGGTCCAGTGTCAGGAGTGCAGACATAGCTACGAGGATTAAAATAGGACTTTATTATTAAACATGTAACACGCAAGAGGAACAGGTGTGAGGTGAGGGGTGATGGAAACACACCCTGAAAAGACAATTTTGCGTTTCTCACACCAGCACATAAGAAATGCTGACATACGTGTAAACATACTCCACATGGTTTCCCAGAGCTGTTTCAGAGGTTTGTGTACAGTTGAAATAAAACACAGCGAGAACAAGGGGAGGCCTTTGAGTGCTTCATACGCATGTGCCGTGTTTTGTTGCGTTGCGTTCATACGGGTTAAAAGGCAGCTCTGAGGGTCTCTGAGACACTGGAGCAAACACAGCAATCTGGCCATGTTCCATGTCCACAGTCATTTCCCACATTGTGGCACAGTGCTGGACTGGGAATAAACAGAGGAGCCCGCTGTGCTCCCAGAATGCATGTTTGCAGAGTTCCCATCAGTGAGTACACAGTAATAGGACTCCCTGAAGGCCTGTATTTAACCTTTAGGTTACAAGTGGCTGGCCACTCCACAGCCCACCCCTCCTCTGCCTCAACTATTAACCCTTTTCTAACTCATTTCTGTCAGCACAAACAGAAACAAAGTCAGATAAACTCTGAAGATCTGAAGATCATGCAATATGATCGAAAGGTCCAGAACAGCTACTAAATGGACTACGGCGAGACTGCTTTGTCAACTGACCTTACTAAGGTCAAAAATTAACTTTGTAGCTCACCTATTAGGCCAACATAGAAGACAAATTACACTGCACATTTCAGCATCTGCAACTACTAGTCAAACTCCTGATGAAGACCATGGGATATGATCAATAGCTCCAGTACAAGACCTTGTTGTCAGAATCATTCAGACTATTCCCAAATTTAAACTGACACAATTCAATTCAACTAACAGACAGGATGTGAAACATTATCAGTGGAGCTTGATAAGTTAACTAATTTGATGGCAACTGAATATGGTGAACAGGTTTCTGCAAAATCTAACTTTTATTATTTATTTTAAGTATTTTTTTAAAAGATGCAAACGCTCTATATATGTGTGTAATGTTTTTGTTCTGCAGAGTAATTAGTAGAGACAACACTAGACTGTGTTTTAGCACTAGCTGTTTTTATGTGGCCCATGTTGTGACACTGCAGCAAGCACAGCTCTCATCTTGGAAGGCAGCACACAGTATTTTGGGTTAGGTTTAAAAACGTACCTTGAATTTCTTGAAAGACTTAACAGTCTGATCTAAACTCTGATCCAATGCAGAGCTCTGCGCCTGTCACATACATTACATTTTAGCCGTTAATTGCACACATACTTTGTTTAAACTTGTGCTATTGGCGTAAAATGTAAACTAATATTTGTGACACCAAACCATATGGAGAGGACAACAACACATAAAAGAAAATTTAAAAAGATAGAATTTCTCTCTCTCTCTCTCTCATACAGACACACACACACACACACACACACACACACACACACAATGACAGGGAGAGAGTCAACCTGACTATATAAACAGATGAAGGAGATGGATCAGAGTAGCCTAATGCTGAGAAAATGCCCTTGGGATACGCTGACAAAACGGAAACATGTGCATATGGGGCCAGCATGGGGGATTAAGCTGTGATAAAACAGTGTGATGCAGTCTGATTTATTTCTTCTTTGTCTTTTCTACTCTGAACAGATTTAGTCATCGGCAACAGGTTGCTCACTGCTTTGAGCAGCTTCATAACACAGAAGCATCATTTTATCCTTGTGCTTCTTTTCCCTGCAGCAGACTTGATGTAAAACAGCGCTGCATCAAATAAATATTCACTCTCCGAAGGAATGTTTCAGCGTTCCAGTTAAATTCTGCAACACAGATATTCAGATTTTCTCTGAAAGTAACTATCACCATGTTATGAACTATATTTTTTGAGAGGAGGCCTGGATTTGAGGTATTGATATTACAGGCACCATGCTTTACCTACGAGCCAAAGCTTTTCTGACAGCATCATACAGGCAGTTCATTGTCAAGGCCGCTGGTATCCAGAATGCAACTGCCAGCTGTTTTCTTTGTGGATCAAACCAAAAGAAAACAGCAGGCCAAGGTCAGCACAGACAGGCTTTTCTCCTACAGCAGACGGATGAAGCTCCATATACGAGGCCGTAAAACAAAAACTCTCTCTGTCACAAATGAGATAGCGCGGTTGATTATATTCCACCCTCTTGTGGAATAATTACCCATTCTCAAAAATTCATGAAAGCTTCTATTTATTCCAGCTCTGTTGGGTGTTTGTTCATCATTTGAGGATTTGTGTCTGTAAGTGGGTTTCTTTCCACCTATTTTTATGTGGTGGAAAAGTTGGTTTATATAAGCAAAATGTGATAAAGTACAATGGAAACAAAGACAAATAAATAAGAAAATAAACTTAAAAAATCTAACTTAAACATCCACTGAAGCTTCGTCTCCACTGAGGAGATGAAAAATAGAAGCAGAGAAAAACATCAGATTTGATGTGTGGAGTAATGAGGAGACTGTAACGTTCCTCCAATTAATACAAGAAACAAACATAAATGCCATATTTCCATTGCATTTTCTACATTGTTTTTCACAGTTGGAGGTTTGACTGGCACTCGTTTATTTACATCATCTTGTTGCACCCTCTTCTTCTACAATGGTTTAATGGCATCCGATTGGACTATGGATAAGTACCTCATACAACTCCACTTAAAAAAATCTGAACAAACCTTTCAAATCTGAGTTTAAGACATGTATGTCCAAGCATTAATTTTGTGACATCACAACTACTTTAGATGCCAGTCATGGTCCAGTATTTAGCTTACACAACTGTGATGTGGAACCTTCAAATCCCCAGTACAAAATACACTGATAATGAACATTTCAGTCAGAGTTGGAGAGTTATATACATCTCCAGTAGTTAAAGATTGTATTAAGACATATAAACAGTCTACTTGCAAAAATAATGTGTTTGATACAAAAAAGTTTAATTTCCACATTAAGATCCTTAAAAAGGCATCTACTATCTAACCTCATTAACAATTCCAATCTATGAATATGCAAATTTTGTTAATTTCTAAAGTTTTCCTGCTCGACACAAGTTGTCTCCTCCTTTACTGTGAAGTACATTCTCAGTGTCTGTGCACTTGAGGCTTCAAGTCGCTTGTATGAGTTGCATACTGGACCAGTATGCACTTCCATGATGTCAGAAAACCGATTTTCAGTGAGCACAGAGAAACTTTCCACTTTCTGCAGATGAATGTAAAAACATCCTTCTAGTGTCAAACTCTCACTATACATCATTCTGCACGGAGAAGCTCAGATATTTAACTGTAAGACATGTTTTTGAGTGGAGGGGGACTGAAATGAATGATAATTACATATTCATACATTCTGGATTTTTCAATTAAGGAGGAGAAGGTGTAATGTAAGACTTTTTAAAAACCATATCAGATACTGTGTGTCTTAAAACATATCTGGGAGGGATCTTTAAATGTAAAATAAGCAACTAACAGAAAAGCCCACTCCATTGTGGGAAAAAAACACATATTCACTCATTGCTTCATAAAACTGTTTGCTTTGTCAAACTCTAATGACACAGGAGAAGGAGCTTGAGAGCTTTTCTGAAGTAAAAGGTACTTGGCAGCGCACACTCAAAAGTAAGCAAGAAGAGTAAATAAAAATCTCTGGTTGACCTCCTCATTGACTTTTGACAAACTTTTCCATTTATGGTTTCTATCCATTAACTACCACCCACACAGCTAACAATTTGGCATTAGTCTCGATTGTGCTGCCAGCAGCGTGTGGGTGAGAGATTTGAATTTCACACAATAATACCTGATGCTTCTGTCTAGTAGCTGCCAGCATCACACCATGAACCCCTAACCAATGTCGCAGCTCAAAACCCCCTCAACAGTGCGACTGTGCTGGCTCTCAACCAACACAACCAGACACACCAAGACAATTAAGACTTTGTGTTAATATTTATGTTCTTGTTCTCGCCCATCAGCTTTTCCACACCTCTCAATTCGCACAAAGTTTCCAGGCTGGGAGAGGATGTGTGTGCACTGGCTGCCACATTCACTAACTCCTATCTGCGGAAAGAGGCCCCACTCCCAGTCACAGGCTCAGTCCTGATGAGTTGTGCCTCAGCTTAAAGAGTCAGAGCCATCCTCTTTTTTTTATGCATTACTAGAGACTCTCACACACAAGCCAGCAAGCCTTAAAATACGAACACACCCAGGGAAATAGCTGTGTTTCTAAAGAAAATAAGTCCAACACCAACATCTCTTAATGTAAGGGTAGCTCCTACACATACACACCCACAAATAAGAGCACAAGATACACACACACACATACACAGAAGCTTGCACTCAGACTAGGTCTTTAATGACCCCCTTGCCCTGCTATCACCTTGCGATAAAGACCTGCTGGAGAAGGCGGAGGGCTGTTGCGTGTCAGCTCACACCCACTTATCCCTTTAAAGACAGAAACTAACAACAAACCCCATGCAGACTTAGTCATAAGAAGTTTATAATTCTCTAACAGGGAAATGACATGGTTATCCTGGCATCATTTCAATAGGTAATCAGAACCCCAGCGTTCTTACATCAATGATTCATGAAGCCACGCCACCACACAGTTAATGAACAGGAGGGCAGTCTCTATAACAGCAGTACTTACGCTCTGTCCCGCTCAGCCGTGAAACAAAAACAATCCTTCAGATCTAAAAAAGAAAAGATTGACTGATTCCTCCTCCAGGAAATGTCAGAGGAAAGTCCACAGAAACAACAGAGTTTAAAGCTTGGGTAGATGACAGCTCTAAGTCCGCAGGTCCACTCTCCTCTCTCTATCTCTCTCTCTCTCTCCTGACACAGTGTCGTACTACAGCCTGCCTCTAAGCACTCCACACACTGGAGCTCCTCCCATCACACACTGTCACAGAGAGAAATGGAGGGAGGGATGGGGGAGGAGAACAGACGTGCAATACTTCAGATGATCTTGACAAATGTTTTAGTTAAACCACCAATGTGTAAAGTTTACTGTAAATATTACTCGTATTTATAGGAGCAGTGGGAATTAGTTTTTGATTATTTAGAGCTAACCCATAAGCAGTTTGGAGATTTTTTTCTCTCTCTTCACACTCATTCTAGTGTTATCTGTATGTAATTTACTTGATTTTAACCTGCAATAAGTAAAACAAAACAAAAAACCTCATATGTATCCTGTGATTTTCTGGTCACAAGACTGCTGACTTCCTGCTTTTGCGAAATCACAACCACCTCATGCAAAAGCAACTTACTGAAAGTGTATGAAATGCACTATGACGTGGCTGAATTTATAGTGTGAGTAGGAAACTGAATGAGACAAAGTTCTAATCGCATTAAACATAGCCTTGGAGTCTTTTTTTTTTTTTTTAGCTCTCCTGGGATTTAGTCCCTTGTTATGGACTGCAGATGTTTGCCTCTCAGCCAGCTGCTTGCACCCGTATAAAGACTGACTTTAATGATTGTAATTACCAGTAACTTCAAGCTACCGGAAAATAAACCAAATCTATTTTTCCTAAATCACAGTCATCAATTAAATGCTCTACGTGTATTTAGTATCAGTGAGAAGTCAAACATCTTTAAAGTTACATCTATGTTAAAATCTAGACAAAATGTCCAATATAATCAGATGGTAACACTGCTATCAGAGGCATCCACTGATCTGCGGGCTTGAAGTCAACAGATGTTTTCATTCACTTCTTTTATAACATGTATAAGTCACCAATGATCATCATCAACATGCGCAAAAAAAAGTAGACCAGAAATGTAACTCTCAGGGTACAAAAACTCATCACTAGGAGAGCGTGCCCATTCAATATTGTACTCCTACCATCTGTACCTTCAAAATTACAATTATGTAATGCTTTTTTGTTGTTAGATTATATACTCCAATAATGCTTCTGAGGTTGAGACAAACCAAAACATGACGCAGTGCCAAATAATGTGAATAATAAGCATATTATTTAGGCTTTAACCATAACTACATTGGACATTTTTGGTGTGATCAAATGGTACATGCATTGTGTTCCTGCCATGGTTCATCTGTGAAAAATGTAACATTCCCCATGTATCAGATCTAGGCATGACGTTTTACTTGTTTACTTTCTTCATAAGAAACATTCTTTTCATTTTCCAAGTAAATCTGTAACATCATAGATGCAACAAACTGATTAAAATGTTAAACTGAAATTTGATCATATATCCGCAGTGTAGCATCATTGTCCCCCTGCTGGCATAAAATATGAATGCCAAAATATTCCCTGCACCTATAACTAGGAATGAGCGAGTACACTACCAACAAAATTATCTGTATTTGTATCCATACTCAGAATGGGTGGGGCCTAATACAGACATGGGTGTTGCTTAAACCAAAAGTGGGCGGGAGTAACTAAAAGTTGTTTATTTAAGCCTGAAATTGATCAGGTGTTTCAGAATAATGTTTTTGATCACAAGAGTAAAAGAATTATGTACAAAAGAAGTTTTTGAACAGTTGGTATACATTCAAGTACGGCTATTGACACATTTTAGTAGTTTGATACTCCTGCTTGGTACTTGTAACAAGTACATTATTTGTACTGGATACTCGTTTCAGCCGAGTACTCGCTCAACCCTACATATACATTTTTAAAGCAGTCCTAAGCATGTCTCCAGACTATTGCTTATACTATTTATATTGTGTGGAATGTGCTATAACTCACTGTAAATCAATGCCAGACCCAGCAGAGATCTACTGTACTAGAGGCCCGTAAAGAAGACACTAAGAGCTGGTCCACGAAGTATAGTTCTAAAATAATACAACACAGGCAAGGACAAAGTTTTCAGGCCATGACACTGAAAGGACAACAGAAATGATGCAACAAAGTCTCAGAAGGGGCTGTTTCATGAATTGTAAAGGGGACACTGAGCTACAATTAACCACATACTGCTCTATATGTTTTATAAACAGAGCTTGGATCTATTTCTTATACCATATCTTAAAATAAAAATAAAATTCAAGTTTGTTATCAAATTTTAAACATGTATTCTAATGGCATTATAGAGTGGAAATGAGATAGACATGTACATTTTTGATGATATGCCAATGCACATACACCAAAGTGTTGAAAAAGTCGTGTTAAAGTTAAGTGTTACCAAATAACTTCACATGCCTTCTCCAGAAATATTTCCAGGGTAAATAGAGAGAAGTGTAAGATAGCGGGGTGTTGAGACGGGGACGCCTGTTTCTAAAATAGCTGTTGCTAATTATACACTTTAGGCAACTGCTAAAGAGGGAGACGCGATGCAGAGTTTGAGGTGTTGGGATTCGGAATGTCGGCTCAGTATATCTGTACAGAGTCAGGATTCCTCACAGTAACCTGAGACGTACTTGGGCCACAGCACGGATACTCACTGGATGTCTTATTTACAGCCTATGTCAGTCAGATACTATTCCTTGTTGGACTGGTAACACACCTCTTGTTGAGTTGAAGCACCTGCCACTGACATACGGACAACCTTTTGTAAACAATCCATAGAGCATAAAGGACCCCTCCGGCAGACGTCTAAACACGTGGCTCAGATCAGTCAAACAAAGACTGGCCTTTTTCATTGCTTGTGGCCATTTCAACGTGGCTGCTCTCAAAACGTCGCTTTTCATTGCCTCCGTTCCCTCTGACTTCTACACAAAGTACCCTACCAGTTACAATTAGAAAATGCAGAAGTGATCATTTGTTGGAAATGCTTAACAATTGCATTGGGTTCAATGGGAAATATTATCAAAACAGACCATGTTTGTTTACATCGTTTTTTTGTGAAAATTACATTTGTTATGCAAAATGATTATTCTCACACTAATGTCAACATAATTGCAATATGATGTTTTTCACCATATCATGCAGCCATAAAATAAACCGTTTTACCCATCGGTGGGTTACTATGAAAGGTTATATTTGCTAGGGAATAGTCTGAAAAGACGATTAACTATTATATGTTTTTGTATTGATGGTCATTTGTATTCTTTTATACATTTCTATATCTTCTAAAAGTAAAAGTGGTATTTTGAAAGTATTTTTTTTAAAGCAATGATGTTGCTGATGGTTTTTGTTAGATACTTACTATCTATGGTGATCTGGAAGTGATGGAAGTGATCACTGGAGTGTATATAAATAAATCAGAAACAACCTAACACCTCCCTGATGAAGGCGAGATAGCCAGAAATATTTGGTGAAGTGAATAAAGCAGGATGTGCTGGAGGGATGAGAGTCTTTCTTTAACTTTGATAACAATTACATTTAAACAGGACATATTATAAACTTTTGTGATTCCATTGGACCACATGAAAACGCAAGTCTGATCATTCAGCACACACAGCTGGCAGAAGTGCTGACAGGTCATTCTATATAAATGAATAACAGTTGAGGAATTACAGCGCTGTGATAAGCCCCCGTGTTTCACATATTAGCTTAATGGAAACACACCAGATAGCGGCACTAGGCTACTTAGAGTCACTGAGGCTGACAGAAGCACTGAAGACAACTGAGCAACCGTGGCACCTAACTCGGACCTTCATGTTATCACTTGTGTGTTCAGGGGTTACACTGACTGTGTCATCGAGATGTATCTCGGTTCTACTTTAGTAATATGGTTGTTAACACAGTGCCGTCCAGTGTGTTGAAATACAGTGATTTTGATTCATGTGCCATAAAAATGTGACATAAAAAACAACTTTATTCACTTCCTCCTTCTTCTTCGCCTTTATCTCAGCAGCTATATAGTACCGGAGTGATGTAGGAACTGCACATTTGAAGATAACATACTCTTCCGTTCCAAACTACCTATGGCCTTGTGAAAACCAACCTGCCAATCTTTTTCTTGCTTTTTCCGTAGAAAGGAAAGCACAACACAGAGACCTTAGCATGTTTCCAGCACTAAAATCACTGAACACGAAGTGAAATATTCTTCACCCTTTAGCAAGAACACCGCTGTGCATCTAACAGGTTGTCAGTAGTTGCATAGTAACAGCAGGGCCATGGTCAACACTTACTTCAAGCATCTGTTCAGTCATACCAGCTACAAGGAAAATCAACAACAACAAACCAACTCTGAGTTTTAAAGTAAAACAGCTAGAAAAGTCACAACTACTAAGCCAAGGCCTCCCCTTGTGCTCACATCACTTACATTTGCCCTTTGGTCTGATTTTTCAGCCTCAGTCTCAGTGTAAAAAGCTGATGCTGACTGGTCATTATCAACCTGTGGTTTAAATGTTTAACCCCTTAACATACAGTTTTCTTCTTGAGTAGCTTAAATGTTGTTAAAATCATCTTATTCCACACTGTCTGACATTATGAGCTTCTTCCAACTCTTCATTAAACCCACACAATGTTTACACTGCGAGAAATAAATAAACTCAAGCTTTAATGGATTTTTTCTTTTTTGATAATTGATTTATATTTTACACTTGAGCATCAACTTTGGAACACACACTCTGTTTTTTTAGTGTATGGATCAAGTCTCAAAAATATCTAACATTCATTTGGATTTTACCCTTAGGGCGACCTGAACCATCATGGATAATAGAAAAATAATTAATAATCAATTAAGTAAGTCCACTTTCATGAAAGTCTATTCATGAAAAAATGCCAAACATTCCCTTATTCCAGCTCCTCAAATGTGAGGATTAGTTTATTGTATGTGTCTAATGATACAGCAAACTAAATCTTTTAAAGGGTTTGGAGTGCTTATTGGGCAAATAAGACATTTGATTGGGCTTGAGAAATGTTACTATTGTCTGTCATTTTATAAACCAAACGATAAATACATTTAACCAAGGAAATAATGAGGAGATTAATCATAGTT